AGTTTGAGGCATTATGTCCTTTTCCTGCCAGTCTCCCACCAAAAAAGGGATGGAATACAGGTAGTCTTTGACTTACAACTACAATTTCTGTGGCTAAGCAAGACATTTGTTAAGTGAATTTAGCCCCATTTTAGGACCATTCTTGCCACATTTGTTAAGTGAATCACTGCAGTTGTTAAATTAGTAACATGATTGTTAAGTGAATCTGGTTTTCTCGTTGACTTTGCTTGTCAGAAGGCCACAAAAATCACATGACCCCAGTACACAGCAATGGTCATTAATATGAACCAGTTGCCAAGCATCTGAATTTTGATCACATGACTATAGGGATGTTGCAATGGTTGTATGAGAAACGGTCATATGGCACCTTTTTCAGTGCTGTTGTAACTTTGAATGATCACTAAACAAACCATTGTAAGTTGAGGACTACTTGTAGAGTATTTTATTCTATTATATCTGATGTTTTCAAAGGAATGTCAAACTCTGGAAATGCTGCTTCTATCTACAAATGCCATTTCTATTCAACTGTCTGAACATTGGAAGAACATGGTACAATAAAAACTCTAACATTCATTTAGAGGCCCTAATCCAGTGATGGCAAACCTATTTTCGCTCGCATGCCAAAAGTGGGAGGAGCTCAGGGGGGTCGTGCACAGGTGTACCACACCCCTAATGCTATGCGCACAACCCCAGCACACATGCATGATCAGCGCTCCCCCCCCATTTTTGCCATGCTTTTTTCGCCCTCCCCAGGCTCCAGAGGTTTTATAGGAGCCTGGGGAGGGCGAAAACATCCTCCCTCCCATCCTTCCCTGAAGGCTCCGGGAAAACTGGCCTTACAGACAAACCGGAAGTTTGGGGATGGACTTCTGGTTTGCTTGTAGAGCTGTTTTTAGCCCTCCGGAGCCTTCAGGGAAGCCTCCTGAAGGTCCCTGAAGGCTCTGGAGGGCTAAAACGGCCCTATGAGCAAACCGGAAGTCCGTTCCCGAATTTCCGCTTTGCCCATAGGGCCTGTTTTTCACACTCTGGAGACTTCAAGGAAGCCTCTGGAGGGTAAAAAATGGCCTCAAAAGAAGGCCAAAGTCAGCTGGCCAGAGCACGCATGCGCGCTGGCCAGCTTACAGGGTAACGCCTCGCGTGCCCAAACAAATGGATATGCGTGCCAACTGTGGCATGCATGTCATAGGTTCACCATCACGGCCCTAGTCTGTAGTGGGATAATGTGTTCAAGGAATGGGCTCCCCCTACTACTGACCAATTGATAGAAATAGATCTCCCACACCTATTTTTAAGTAATTTTAAAACAAACTGTTGCCTATTTCCCACCCACCCCCAAAATGTACAGTAGTCAAGGGACATATGAACACACTGAGCCCAAATGTTTTGTTGCTAAGCAAGACAGTTGTTAAGTTTTGCCCCACTTTATAACTTTTCTTGCCACAGTTCTTAAGTGCGTCATTGCAGTTATTAAGTTAATAACATGGTTGTTAAGTGAATCTGACTTCCCCATGAACTTCGCTTGTCCGAAGGTTGCAAAAGGTGATCACATGACTGCAACTGTCATAAATACATGCCAAGCATCACATGATTGTGGGGATGCCACAATGGTTATAAGTGTGAAAAATGGTTATAAGTCACTTTCTTTCAGTGCTGTTGTAACTTTAAACAATCACTAAACAAATGGTTGTAAGTCGACTGCCTCTATAGCCCTGATGGTGAACCTAGGGCACAGATGGCACGTGGAGCCATATTTGCAGGCACACGAGCTGTCAGCTTTGGTGCC